AACTAATTTCGCAGAGCGAAGCCTTCTCTATCCCTCTTATTGGTTTAGGGAAACTGGGGAGGTTGTCGCCATCAAGAAGGTTCTACAAGACAAACGCTACAAGAACAGGGAGCTACAAATTATGCAGATGCTTGATCATCCCAATGTCGTTGCTTTAAAACATAGCTTCTTTTCAAGAACAGACAATGAAGAGGTTTACCTGAATCTTGTTCTGGAATATGTGCCCGAGACTGTCAATCGTATTGCGAGAAGCTACAGTCGGATGAACCAGCTGATGCCTTTGATATATGTAAAACTCTACACCTACCAGGTGATTATTTCCTTTATTTCATCTGACTTTTTAATCCTCTCATTGCAGTTCCTGTTTACTTAGCTGTTCCTTTTTTTCATGTCCTCTGTCATTGGTTTCATGAGAAGTATACTCGAATAGTATTGGTAAGGTCCTGTTGTCTTTGACAATATTGTTCAGCATGTCGGTGGAAAATGAAAGAAACTGAAATTAAATTGTGACGTTTGGACTCCAACCTCACTTTACTAAGGATTTAAACCCTCCTTTTGTCCAACAGACTTACCAAAGGAAGTAGCACTCATGTAATTTAGCGGTTTTCTTTTTCATGTGTTTGGAGTACCGAGCCTCTTTCTCTTATGTATTTTTCCTTGGAGTTATAACCTTTAACTGCAGAAGTTTAGCTGAAGATTGAAATTTATTGCCTCCTGTTGTTAGTCCTTCCGCTGTGTATCAGTTAGCAGCCTAGAGCAAATTTTATTATTTTTATTTTCCCTAACAACTTTTTTTGCAAGTGCTCCTATCTTCTTCAAGTTGATATTTGAATGACCCTTAAATGTCTGGCATGTTTTTGTTAACGAGTGCAGATTTGCAGGGCGCTTGCATACCTTCATAATTGCTTTGGTCTTTGTCACCGTGACATTAAGCCTCAAAATTTGCTAGTAAGTTCCATGTGTTTCTTACTTTTTTTTTTTTAAAGTATTGATAAAATCTTTCATGTTCTTTGCCGCAAACTCTTTTTTGTTGGATCTTTTTTTCCTAATACGACAAGCTAAAAGCAATGACATATGTTCTTTATCAATCTGATGATGATATGCTATTGCAATTGCTGACATGACGTGACAGAATATTGTTTAGTGGAGTTATCAAAGTGGCTCTGTTTAGTATCTCACAAAAATTGATATAGATCTTCACAGCGGTTCTTGGCTTCTTTTCTCTATCTTCACAAACGTTGTGAAACTAATTACAAGTTAACTGTCAAGTTCTACTGGTTCAAATTTTTGTAAGACTCCTTTTTATTTTACAAACGGTCAACTTGTTTAATGTTTACACGTCTGGGCTAGATTCACACTCTCTTGTTTTCTGTATTTTATTAAATTGAATTTGTATTTGGCTTTTTAATCTGTTCCTTTTCATACACACACACACACACACTCTGATACACATGTCGAAAAGTCTTATCATCTATTGATGTGCAGGTGAATCCTCACACACATCAGCTAAAACTCTGTGATTTTGGGAGTGCAAAAGTTTTGGTAATATATACATGGGCTGCATCTTTTGATTTATGCTTTATTATCCTATTCTATTTCTGGGATATGAGACATTCTTGTTCTCATCAGGTGAAAGGAGAACCCAATGTTTCCTATATCTGTTCAAGATACTATCGTGCTCCAGAACTCATTTTTGGCGCCACTGAGTACACAACTGCAATAGACATATGGTCTACAGGTTGTGTGATGGCTGAATTGCTTCTTGGACAGGTTGAAGCAATAATTTTTGCAGTATGAAGCGTATATGCTATTTTTCTAGTCGTTCTTCTGGCACTGTTCTTAGTTGTTTGTGCCTTTACTGGATTTTGTGCAGCCTCTATTTCCTGGTGAAAGCGGAGTTGATCAGCTTGTTGAAATCATTAAGGTCGGTCTTCATCTTCTGTTTTAAGTATCAAGCAAATGCTAACTTTCTCAGGCTATCAAGCTGGCAGCTTGGTATTTATATCCAACGAACAAGCAATAGACTTTGCATTGTTCAGCTTGAGTAGAATAATGTACCATAACCTTTTCAAAGGAACTGTATTTTCCTATTTTATGTGCTTTTAATAATAATGCAGGTTTTAGGAACACCAACAAGAGAGGAGATCAAGTGCATGAATCCAAACTATACCGAATTTAAATTTCCTCAGATAAAGCCTCATCCATGGCACAAGGTATACCTTTTACTGTTATTGATCATTGCCTGACAGGATAATTGATTTATCAATCCATTATTATAGATTGACGTATTTTGCTTAAGTTTTGTTCTTTTTTCCGATGATTGTCATCCCCTCCAGTCTTACTGATTTTACTGAAAATCCGACTTGAATACCCTTCTTTGTGGAATTGACGAAAAGGATATCATGATGTTTCTAAGGAAGAATGTCATGGCAGCTTATAGCAATAGAACCTTTACTGAAACAGAATAATTGTTAAATCTTTATGCTGTCAATGGAGTTGATGCCTGTGTTTTACATAGTTGCCAAACAAAGGGCTCCAGGATCTGGAATTTGCTACTGGTCAATGTAATAACTTTTGTTTATTTGATCACTCTCTGGAATGAAGACGCCTTCAGAATCCTGTCCAACTGACTTGCCACAATATTTTGTCCAATGTATATTTTCCGTGTTAAAAGAGCATTTTTGTTTAGGAGCGTGTGCCCTCTTTTGTCTAGTTCTCGTTGTTGCTGTGAGGATGATGTATCTATCTCTTTATCAGGTGTTCCAAAAACGATTGCCACCAGAAGCGGTAGACCTTGTTTGTAGGTTCTTCCAATATTCGCCAAATTTAAGATGCACCGCTGTAAGTTATCCATTGTTTTCATCTTCTCTGTTGTTCTGTATCGGCATCTTGACCCATTAATATGCTTTTTGATGGTCACTCTAATAGCTGGAAGCTTGTATCCACCCGTTTTTCGATGAGCTAAGGGACCCAAATACCCGACTGCCTAATGGCAGGCCACTTCCTCCGCTCCTCAACTTCAAGCCCCAAGGTCAGTCAGTATTCCTTGTTTTTAGAGTTCATGGCTTGGATAGGATTTCCGGTGAATGAATTGATTTTCAAAAAACCTCGTAAGGGATACGCTAAATGATGAATACACCCATCAGGAAAAATCTAAACACAAGATTAGGGAATGTTTTGAGAAGTGAAACATATACGGAAGTTGGATCATGCTGGTATATAACGAACAATGTAGCTTCTCTCGATGAACGTGAGACGATTAGTTCTTGGATTTCGGGCGTGTGATACTTTATATATAGATTTCAGAAACCTAAGTAAGTATCTGCATGTTGTGTGTCTGTACAGAACTCACCGGAGTCCCTCATGAAATAGTGAACCGACTCATCCCCGACCACGCCCGTAAGCAGAACCTCTTCATGGCTTTGAACTCTTAAGAACCTCTATGCGGTTTGTTATGTTATGAGTAATTATGTTGTGAACTTCTTCTTCCACACACACTCTCTGTTTCCTGTTTCCTTCGTATGCATTTGGCTTTGTTCTTGTTCTTGTTCTTGTTCCTGTTGAGAGTGCTCTTTGTATTTTTTTCCTCGTATATTTCTTACGAAGAAAATGAAAGAGAAGACATATTGTTATATTATAGCTTAATATGGCCTGCTAACCATGATTCAAAATTATAATTGTTTTGGATATTGATGTTTAACAAGTTTTTGCAGTTGTGGCCTTTAGAAGAAAAAAATGACATTTGTTTCCTTATTACCAAATATTATTTCATCATCATCATTATTATTTATTTTAATGAAGAAATTATTCGTAACAAATGATTACAAATTATAGTGGAAATTTTGCATTTATGTTATGTTTTAGTTTAATTAATTGATTTTTTTTCTTTTGTAAAAACTATATTTTCGTTTCCTTCCCATTTCATTTTAGTTAAACTTTTATTTAAAAAATATTTATGATTTAAATTTTTTCTTTCTATTTTACTAGGATTTAGATATTTTATTTTTTTATTTATATCCAATTGATATAATTAGAATCAGTTCTTGAATTTATTTGAATAAAAGCATACCTAATTGATTCAATTTCATATACTTGTATATTCGCGAATTGAAATATTATCTGTGCTACAATATTAATTTTTATTACGTGAGAATTTACAAAAATTCTATAGGAATACTATAATTGATCTAATTTTATCATACAAATATTTCAATTTTTAAGTAAATCAATATCACAATTTTTAAATTGATAAATAGATAAATTTCCTAAAATATTTATTTAATACTTTAAAACCTAAATTTTCACATGATTTTTTTATAAACACGATTTTTGATAAACATAGGAGTATTTTTTTATAAAGATGAGTCAGATGGGACCCACCATCGAATATATTTAAAAGAAAATAGAAAGAAAATAAAAAATAGAGTCCGACAAAAAAAGGAAAAGGAAAAAACTATTCATAAGAGAGACAAAAACAAGAAAAAACCCTAGTCAAACCCTTTCCTTCGAAGCCTGCTTAGCTTTCTCAATCACGACATGTCCGTACAATCAACTTTCAGCCCATCTTCTCTCAAATTCTTCCGCAAAAACGTTCATTACACTCATAACCCATGTTTCTCCGTCCGATTTCCGATCTTCGGTTCTCTCTGTTTCGCGGGTCATCTGAAATTCTCGACCTTTGATTCTCTTTCTTCTATTTCTTCTTCTTACCGTGTCGACAGCCATCAGTTATCGTTCCGTTGCAATGCCCGGAAATCAGAGTCATCAGTTTCGGTTGGTTATGGTAAGAATCGGCAAAGATTATGAGTTTTTTTCAATGTAAATATATGCGTGTTTGTTCATGGATGTGGTTTTGTCTTCTATGTTCTGTCTATTTGATTGCTTTCTCATGCTTCGCATTTGTTGATAGATAAAAGAAAATTTGGTTTTGGGGGATAATTATGGTTTTAGGTTCGTAGTCAAGGATATGGGTGGGAAAAAGGATCTCCTTTCTCCGAGAAATCTTTTTCTGGACTCGATTTTCCCAGAAATTTATCTCATTCGTCGAGCAAGTTCGAACCCACTGATGGATTCAGGGTTATTTTTTCTGTAACTGATTTAATTCGCGGCTTTATACTTTTGCATGAGTGTCTTTTTCGATCTTTTCTCGGCGTGTGTCGATTGCGGAATCGTCGAAACTTTTACGGCGTTGCTGATTTAGTGTTCTGCGATTCTTGATTACTGGGGAATCTGCTGCTTTCTTTGCTCTGTCATTGTGTTCAATTTGATCCGTGTGTCTGTTCCTGTGGCAATTCATTTGCTAAGCTTGTTGTTTGGTTCCTGAGAAAAATTTTTCTGGGGGCAAGAATCTGAGGAGAATGACCCAGATCGGGAAACTCGAACAGATAAATTGTTTTTGGGGATAATTATGGCTTTGTATTCAATTCACTTTTGTCATCTATTCTGATGATCCACGGTTTCTTCAATTTTTCTGCAGACGAGAGAGTGGTTGTTCTTGTTATCGGTGGAGGAGGACGAGAACACGCCCTTTGTCATGCCCTGAAACGATCACCGTCCTGTGATTCTGTATTCTGTGCTCCTGGAAATCCGGGTATTACGAGTTCGGGAGATGCCACTTGCATACCTGAGCTCGACATTTCAGACAGTTCGGCTGTCATCTCTTTCTGCCACAAGTGGAATGTTGGCTTAGTTGTTGTCGGGCCTGAAGCTCCCCTTGTTGCGGGTCTCGTGAATGACCTTCTTAAGGCTGGTATTCTCGCATTTGGCCCTTCTTCTGAGGCCGCTGCTTTGGAAGGATCCAAGAACTTCATGAAGAATCTCTGCGACAAGTATGACATCCCCACTGCAAAGGTTTGCCATATTGCCTATGTTTTTTGTTTTCTTTCAGTCGCCGAGTTTTGGAATCCAAAGAGTTTTAGGTCAATAGATGAAGTCTTCCTCTCGATTCTAGGCATACTACCAGAAAGAAATATTTTGGATTGGGCGGTATAAACAGCAGAATAATGAAAATGAAGAGGATTTCAATACTTAGTTTTGACTGGAAAGTGTGCTTGTTCATAAGCTTGTGATTTTATTTTCTCAATCAGATCAAGATTTCCACTAGATACCGACTGATAATCCGAATTTGGTCAATGCAGTACAAAACATTTTCCGATGCATCTGCTGCTAAAGAATACATTCGAGAGCAAGGGGCGCCTATCGTGGTCAAAGCTGATGGATTAGCAGCTGGAAAAGGAGTCATTGTTGCCATGACCCTCGAAGAGGCTTTTGAGGCTGTTGACTCGATGCTTTTAAAAGGTGTGTTCGGTTCTGCAGGATGTCGGGTAATTGTGGAAGAATTCCTCGAAGGAGAAGAGGCTTCCTTTTTTGCCCTTGTGGATGGTGAGAATGCCATTCCTCTAGAATCTGCTCAGGATCACAAGCGAGTTGGAGATGGAGACACGGGACCTAACACCGGAGGAATGGGAGCGTATTCTCCGGCACCAGTCTTAACGAAAGAGCTTCAGAATATGGTCATGGAGTCTATAATCCACCCAACTGTGAAAGGAATGGCAGAAGAAGGGTGCAAGTTTGTCGGTGTTCTATTTGCGGGTCTCATGATCGAGAAGAAATCCGGTTTACCTAAGCTGATTGAGTACAATGTCCGGTTTGGAGACCCCGAGTGTCAGGTCAGTTATCATCCGTCTTTAGAGAAAAACTTTTCATTTGTTATAAACAATGCCCGGTTTTCGTCTAAAACCCGTAATAATGTCTCGATACATCTCTTTCATGCAGGTTCTAATGGTACGACTTGAATCCGACCTCGCAAAGGTTCTGCTTGCTGCCTGTAGAGGCGAACTCGAAGGCGTAACCCTTGATTGGTCACAAGATTCAGCCATGGTAGTGGTAATGGCAAGCAAAGGTTACCCGGGTTCATACCAGAAAGGAACAGTTATCAGAAACATCGAAGAGGCTGAATCGGTAGTTCCGGGTGTAAAGGTTTTCCATGCGGGAACCGATCTTGATTCAGAAGGTAATTTCATAGCCTCGGGTGGACGAGTTCTCAGTGTCACAGGGAAGGGTGGAGATCTTGAAGAAGCCAGGGACAGGGCATATAGAGCAGTTGAAGAGATCAACTGGCCAGGAGGGTTCTTTAGGAATGACATTGGGTGGAGGGCGCTTAGACATAAGGAAGTGGCTGCAAAAGACTGAAGCAAGGAAACAGAGCATGGTTTGTTGGATGCATATTTCAAGAAGATATGTTTTGTGTTTGTCTGGGACAAATTTTTGTTCTCATATTGCATGATAACCTTTCTCTATGAGATGTGAATGAATAAACAATACAATGTAATGTTATTATTGTTCATCGGTTCACACATTTTCCACCAACAGGAGCAATTACAATAGCAACATGGACTGTTTCATTGCAAAGGTAAACATTTAGCATAAAAGGCAAAAAGATCCTCGTCAACCCAATTCTATGTTCCACACGAGAACTCTTACCAAAAACAGCACAGCCAGTGGCTGAACATCCAAACCCATGATCCACAAAACAAAGAACGATGAAGTCATCTCAAGTGAGCATGTAGATGTGACCATCCCACAGGCATTGTTGATGAATCTTCCTGTCTTTCAAAAGGGTCTTCTCTATCTCCATTGGAGGGTTCATTCCCAGACGCCGATCTCGCTCCTATCGAGCCAGTCTGGTCATCCCAAGGCATGGACCATAAGCCACGTTCATGTCGAATTCCCTCGTTCTTGTCTAGTCATCAAACAAAACAAAAGTGCCGTTTTATGTTATATCATCGCTAATAAAAGTAGCATAAGTCCATGAATTTAGCTGTGGAAAATGCCTACAGAGATCGATCACATACGTCCTCTCGAATGTCTTCCGAAAAATAAAACCCTAAATATCTATGTTGGTAATGTGCCTTAAACCCTAATGCGTCCTCTTGAATGTCATCTTCGCGAATCAAAGTTTTGAACCGGGTTTTGGCGGAAATGCAACAAGGTTACAGAATATTGAGTACCATAATATGAAACGCACACAACTTTGAAGAACAATAAAACCAATATTTTCCAGGGTAACATGAAAGTAAACTTCGATTTTCGCATAATCCAAGCCAAACACATCTCGAACCCCAGAAATGAGAAATAAAAATCCAAAACAAACAAGCAATCGAACCAAGCCATTTGTTCGTACAATCACAGCGAAGAAGAAATCATCTACCGTCCAAATCGATGAGGCCGTGAGAAATCAGTGCCGCCGGTTGGGTAACATCGGAACCCTGAGTCCCCGAGTGTTTGAGAGAAACTTTCCGGGAAGAAGGCTTGGGCTTCGAGATACCTCCGGTGACCTTGCTCTCCTTTTGCCTGTAGACATCCTTCAGATTCTTCGCCGTCGTTGCCAACAGCCTCTCTCTCTCCCCGCGCTGTTCAAATTTTAAATTCCCCTGCCGTTGGGCTTCGACGGGAAGCTTTGAAGCGAGAAATAAAATGGGCCTACAAAGCATATGGGCTTCATCTTGGGCCTGATTTTAGGCCCAACTAGAGGTTTGTTTTCTTTAGTTTTTTTTTTGGGTTAAAATATGCTAAGCATGATGCTCAAAGATTGTAATGTTTGGCATATAGCCAATGCAAATACTGATTATGTTACAATCCCTACAGCAGCTTAAAATGTAACAAACAAAAAAAAAAATTAACAAAGGAATCAATGAGCAAATTGATAAAAATTATGTCAAGATGGGAAGTGGTGAGACGGCCATCTGACGCCTTCCCGGCGGCAAGGTAACGGCGCCGGAAGGGCTATGTGTGATGGAAGCTCCGCCCCCGGCATCACCACCGACACATCCGCCGCCATGGTTGCCGGAATCTGCCACGTCATCAGACACACAGAACCAAACCACTCACTACTTGTTCATGTGTGTGTATATATAAAGGCAAAAGCAGTGAACTAATTACCGTGGCTGCCTGATTTGGAAGCTTCATGAACTGGGCAGCGGACCCATCTGGGTTCTGATCCATACGATGCGGCGAATCGAAACTGGAATTGTCGGGACGAAACAGATGTTCGAAGATCGCCATTATCAGAAACATCGAGATCAAGATCGCCGTCGCGACGAATCCGAACGAAATAGCATTCATAGACGTAGTCATCGTCCCCATGCTCGATGATGATGATGATGAACTCCATGGCCCTTCTCTGTCTCCTGAACCATCCCTCGTCGTGTATATGCTCCATGACCTCATCGATGATCTTCCCGAGCTCGAAACGTTCATAGTTTCCTTGGAAATTCCCCGTGATTATCTATGATTCTCATGCAAAACTTGATATTTCTTTCTGAGATTCTGATACTTGAACACTGTAATCAATGAAAATACCGATATGATTAAACGTAGTTTGGCTATCGATCTAATGGGTTGGAGAATTTTCATTTTTGTCGCTGTGTTCTTATCAAGAAAGTGAAAAGAGAAGAGAAGAAACCCAGAACACAACTCACCTGAAACCCTCAGTCTGTTGATGACTTGTTATGGATATGCTGTTGATGGTGATGATGAGTCGTAGGATATGTTCTTATATGTGCGGTTTTTTTCTATGATTTGATAAATTATACACTTATATAGTTACATATATATATGTATATATAGGTGGATTTACCTGTTGATAATATAATGGTCCTAAGGAGTAGGAGCAGACATAATCTTGGTCCCTGGATCCTATAATCTTTCTTCACTGTCTTGTTAAAGCCACTACTTCACACTTCTCCATGACTTTGTTTATGCAATTTGCCTCTCCTCTCCCTTTATACACTTCCCTATTAAACTATACCTAAAGTAATTACACACACCTTCTTGAAAGCAAAAAAAAAAAAGTTACATGTATTTTATTTATCCCCTTACCTTTTCTTTCTGGGGTTCTCCAAAAGTTACACCAAAATATTAAATAAAAAAAATGTAATATAAAATAAAAAATAGTATAAAATATTTTGTTCCCCTTCCTTAATTAGACCTCTAATTATTAAAAAAAAAAAAAACATTAGAGTTTTGTATGTATATAGGGTCTTGTTCCAAATCCAATGAGAATGTTATTGGATGTTTGGACTATCTACCTTTTAGAAATTATAAATATTTGAATAATCAATATGATTCGTCACATATATAGGGTCAGTAAATGGGATTATGCCCGTTCTAACTTCTCATCCTTAAAAAAATACAAGAAAATAAGATATATCTTGTTTCTAAACGAAAATTAGAAAATGGTTCTAAAATTTTATTTGTCACACGCCACGCTAGGTCTTAAATTATACATCATCATGAAACTAATCTATTTTAAAATATTGTAAAGATATCCCATCATTTACAAATTATTATAATGATTAATAGAGATGCGCAATTTGATAACCTTGGTTTTGGTGTATGAAAACGGATTAAGAATGAATATATATATATATGTTATATATGTATATAATGGGCATGTATGATAGGGGGAACATGACGAAATGTGAAGACAAAGCTATATGATACTCTCGTTGAAGTGTTATTTTTCAAAATTATTTTTCTCCTTTATCTTTATCTTTTTGTTTTTATTATAAAAAAATGAATTTGGTGTTTCGTGGTCTTTAATTAGTGGGTGCAGATTAATGAATACTACGACCCCTTTGTCCACGAGAAGTAACACCAAAAACAAAAAAGAAAAAAAAAAATATATATATATATTAAAGAATAATAATAATTAAAAATGGGCCCTTCATGTCATGAGAAAAGAAGAACAGAGCGACACTATTGGTAGCTTTTGGAGAGAAAAAAATTTGACTTTAGTTAGTTGCATTAATTATAACGGTTACATATTTAATTATTTCTAATAATCTATAATACATTATCTTAAACAGCTGCAGTTGAAAAACAGTTCCAAAACAGCGGGGCAAATTTGGTTAAGGCTTACAACTTGTAAGTGGATATTATTAGAATTTAGAAATATACGATGTTGGCTATTTCTATATAAAAATTGATTAAATGTAATTTTTTTAATTTAAATTAACCACATAACAAAGTATCGAATAAAGAAACTTTTAAAGATAATATTTTTAATAGGAAAAATGTTCTCAAACTAATTCATAATAAAATATAATTCGAACTAAAATCTGATATGAAAAGTAATTGATGTAACTTTATTAAAATCTAAAAATCAGAATTGTAAAAATAACCGAATCGATACCAAGCCATTCGAACTATTCATCCTTATATATGGAGCGAAAGGTTTTATAAGTTTATAATGTCTAAACATATTTTAAAAAGAAAAATTCGTGAAGAAGAAAACATGATAAAAAAAAATAAATTAATTTGATGGTAACAAACATCTAATTTTATTATTTGGATTTACTGTCAAATGTAATTTTAATATTTTTAGAAATAAGAGCTTTTATATAATTAATGTTAACTCTTTGTCGACTTAGAAGCTGAAGACCTTATTTTTCTCCAAATATATAAACAAAATAATGATCTTGAGATATATATTATACAAATTTCTTTTAAAACGCTGCATGATAACTAGGTGATTGAAATAAACAAACTTCTTATTACGGAATTTGTTGTTAAAAAAAAAACAAATAATGATCCTGTTACATATATATATATATATATATATATATATGTGTGTGTGTGTGTGTGTGTGTTCAAATGTATGAAAAAACTGAAACTTCGGCCACCATTTTAGGGTTCTTAGAATATTTATGCATTTATAATCAATTTTTGGGGAGAACTCAGCGACAAAGACTAAGTAAATTCCTTGGAACAAATTATCTTCAGTATATAATTAATTAGTATTAATTTTCCGCTTATAATATGATTAAAAGCTTATGACCATAACAACACCCGTCACGGTAAAATCATTGGAGTGTCTTTATTTGATATTATTTAATATTTGTAAACTAACAAAGAGTGATCTTTTTGGGTTGCAATTATATAAACAAAAAGGAAAAAAAATGCAGTGTGCTATATTTTCCGGGTTAAATTTTAATAATGTCCACTCGCATAATGCGAAGAGGGGCGTGTGTGTATAATGCAACACATGCATCCGAGTGGCAATGATGGTCCAAATCTCTTATAATCGATCTGATTTTGCCAAAACGGAACATATTAAAGGGTAAAAAGGATAAATTAAAGCTGCAAAGATAAATAAACAAATATTATATATATATATATATATATATATTCGAATTTTATCTATGATTTCACTTTAACTTCGGCTACTCTATGAATTTTAACACATACTTCAATTGAAAACAATATAAATTGATTTAGAGATATGTCACATTAAAGCGGTTACTGTTTTAAACTAAATTTATTTTAAATTTAAATCAGAATGATATAATTGAATTCGTATGCTTCCGATCCAATATAAACCCAACCGGACCCAAGTAAATATAAAAAAAGAAAAAAATGTTTGGTTTGTTTTATTTTGTAAGATATTCATTCAGTTAAGTTAATTGAAATAAAATTATATCAAACGAATTTGAAGTATATTTTAAAATTGTTTAGTTAAATATTATCTGATTTATGAATAATATCCACCGTTATTCATTCATAATATTATAATTTTTTTTAGATGATGTTAAAAAAAAACGCGTAAATAATGTAAAAGTTAGTGGAAAATAAAAAATAAAAAAAATAGAAAAAAGGTGTTGTTGGCAGGGGAACGTGGGGTTTCGGTGAACTTACAGCTACACAAAAATTCAAAAGTGTTATGATTTATATTTTGAAAAAATATTTTTGGACTGACAGAAAATTTAAATATATATATATATATATAATTTGAGCCTTGTAACAATCGCACAGCCACTGTGGGCGTCATGTGAGTCTCTCCTAATTTTCTCGTCACTTTTTATTTATTTTTATCACTTTTTGTTTTTAGTTTGAAATATTCTGAAGAGAATTCTCCACCTGTCCGAATCACTCCGTCAAACAAATTCTCCTTCTCTTTGTCTATCCATTTATCATGAACAAAATTTCCTTCTCTTCTCTGTTCATTTATAATGTACGAACATATTATTCACACATATATACATATATATATATTCCTTTTGTCTATCCATGTATTCTGTCTAAGCATACTATATATACATAAATATATATATATATATACATATATATGAGTGTTTTCCATTTTTGTTTACCATGTATTATGTATGGGCATATTTTTACATGTACACACACATTATACACATATATATGTATATATATGTGTATGTATGTTCTTTTTTGTCTAATATATTCCTAAAAAAATGTTCATTCATAAAACATGTTCATGTATAACATATGGATAGACAAAAACTCTATGTGTGTGGACGTAAATTTTGTTCGTTCATATACAATACGTGGATAGATAAAATGAACATATTCCACGAGCCATTTATAAATATTTCTGCCACTTCAATTGTTTACAAATTTTCAGCATTTTACATTTTCTTTTGAAACCACGGTTAGATTGTTGATTAATATATATATATATATATATATTACATATAATTCAGCTACCATAATTTCAATGCAAACAGAGTCACCTCAATACTTGATGTTTCCCACTATGGGCCAAGCTAAAGGCACACTCTAAAAGGAGGATTAATGGGACCCAAACACCCCTTTGAAAAAAAATCAAAAGAAAAGAAAAAAAATTGGAAAGCTCAGAATCAGAGCAGATTGTGGGAGAAGACAGAGATTTTGAAGCATACATATTCTTTTCCACTTTGTTTTTTTTTTTTTGTAATTAGGTTTTTCCCTAAAAAAGATATGTTTGCTAATTGCTTTGTCCATCCACATCTTTTGCTTTCAAACAAAAAGTTATTCAAAAGAAAATTCTTCTCTGTTTTTCACAAAAAAATATATTCTCCTAATTCTTTGTATCAAAAGGTATCATATCACTTCAACCTATTAAAGACGATGAACCAAAAGTGAAATAAATAAAATTTAATCCAATTTGAAATGAGAAAAAAATATAAAATTTATTTGGCATATTTTTTAAATCAATTATTGAATTAGAATTGAACATATAATTGAGACATAATTGAAGCTTAATGTATATGTTAAATTGAATATAGTTTTTTTTTTTCATAACCAAAAAATCTAAACATAAAAATAAAACAGAGTGAAATCTAGAATATCTTTCTCTATATATTTAGACGAAAATATTTTAGTTATCAATTATTTGTGTTTCTTTTTTATATTTTACTATCTATTAAACATTTGTAAAATCTTGAATTTCATTGTGGTAATAAATGGTCACATTTTTTTATAACAGTAATGAGGTTGGGAAGAAGACAAGACAAAGTGAATTTTTACATCCGTCAAATTCAAATATGTTAATAACAAAGTGTTCATCATTCACCTCATTTTAACGAAAGAATTAAATGAAAAATTGTTAGACTTGGAAATTGTCAGTTATTTTCATATGGAAATATTCCGGTTTTTGTCGTACCAAATAGTAATGAAATCTCAATGCATATTTTACATGTTTTGTTAACCGTCGATTTTCACATTGCTTACGTAATTACCGTTACAACTTCATCAACATTCCAAATTGATGCTCCCACCATCTAACTAACAACCAAACCGATATCCAAATCAAAGCAAAACCAAATACCAATACAATTTTGAATCCGGTTTAGAGTTTTGGTTTATTCTTTGGACGGCCATTTCAGATTTGGTCAAGAGTTTTGCTCTACTCTATTTTGAAAAGGCAATTTGAAACTTTGATTTGATTTTGGTTTTGGTAAAAAAAAGTTCATTTCAAAATTGTTTCGAAATAAAAAAAATACCTCAAAGCACCAAAATAAGAACTATGACCCATTTAAATACTAAAAATACAAAACCATAACTTTTATTGATATTATCTCATCTTAATTCGATTAAAACCATAACGTTATTGAATGACACGACATGGAATGCCAAGGGTATCGTAAAGAGAAGGAACATAAACAGCTCAACTGTGGAGGTTCTAAAAAATAAAAAAGATTGAAGGATAATAGATCTACTGGATCAAATCAAGCTTTAACTCGGCCGAAGAACTTGGCCTTCTCTTGGGTTGTCTGGAACCGACCATGTCCGAACTTGGAAGATGTGTCTATGAACTTGAGTTTGATCTCTTCCAATGCAACCCTCGATGTCTGTTGAATCAACGTCTGTCTTAAAGTCACAACCCTTTTCTTCGGCCCCACGCAACATCCCTTGACCAGCACGTAATCTTCCTTCACTATCCCATAGTGAGGGAACCCTCCCATCGGTGTGATATCCTTCTCGGTCCTGTAGAACAAATTACACGGTGAGACATGTTAAGCAATGCCGCAGTAAAGGCGGTGACTTTATGTTGTTTTTTTTCACCTGTCAAATTCGGTCATGGCTAAGTGAGATTCTTGACCAGATTTCCCAATCCGATAAACTTTCTTGTTCATCTCTGTTCGGTGGTGGTACCCGTTCTGCCCGGCTCTGGCAACAGTGAAGGAAACCCTAGCCGGATGCCATGCTCCAATACAAGCCACCTTACGAAGACCACGATGGGTCTTCCTCGGAAGACGGGTCACACCCCATCTTGTGACAACACCTTCATAACCTTTACCTTTTGTCACTCCGATTATGTCGATCATCTCATCCTTTTGGAAGATGGCATCGATAGGAATCTGTTTCTCGAAGAAACTGTAGGCATAGTCAACCTTCTTGGCTACATCACCACCATTGATCTGTATCTCCATCAAGTGTGCCTTCTTCTGCTTCAGCCCTTTCATTTTTCGGATCTAGGCAAGCCAAAACATCAAAATGATATATGAATGCATTAGCTAGAAGGATCTAATAAACAGATGGTTCCAATAAATACCTGAGTGTGAGCAAGAACTCGGATGACGCTGCAGTACTTTTTCAACTTATCCAACTGAGCTTGAATGTCTTTTTTACCATCATCACTTTCGTATTTCTTTGAATACTTGGTGAAAGCCTTCTTCTTCGACTTGCACCAGTTCTTGTAAAACCTCCTTCTCACCTCTTCGCTCAAGTGCTGTGCCCACACTGTGCCCAGAGTGCGCAATCCACGAGGCGTTTTCACGTACCCTACAACACCGACCACCACCATTGGCGGTGTCTCAATCACAGTGACAGCTTCACATGTTTCCTTCTTGTGAAGCTCTGGATGTAAAATTCACAAAGGATTAAACAAAAGAGTCAGGAAAACCAAAATGCTACTTTTTTAAATGGAGCAAGAAATTAACAACAGAGATATAGAACACACTTGATCCAGGCTTTTCAACTTCTCTAACAATATGAGTCATTCCAGCTTTGTATCCCAAGAAAGCAGTGAATCTGCAAGGCTTAGCAGCATCATCCTTGGGGAAGGCCTTCACTGAAAAGACAGAAAACAAGAAATCAACATGTGACCATTGACACAACATGCAATCTTTATTAAAGGTGAAATGCATACACGAAAGCAGCATCAAATCAACTTTTGAGATCCAAACATGCGCAATGTCACAAATGAAAGAATCGTGTCAAGTGTCAATTACACAAGGAACGAGCATCACGTCAAATCAAACAAAAAAACGTGCAACTAACAATCCCACATATGATCAAATTTTGAGCGACAGAACCAGATAATAAGAATCATAATGTAAGGGAAGACAAAGAATGTGGATGACCCTGAGATACAGAGGGAACACTGGAAAGTGGACGACCTAGAATCTCCTATTATAGTTACCTTTTCCACGGTGTCTGGAAGCCCTTTTCCTTGGAAGGAAACCCAGTGATCCATGTCTTGGATGCTCAAACTTTCTATGAGACATTCTTTCTGAGAAACCAAACCTACAAAACCACATCACTTTTATCTACAGATAAAGACAAATGAATCCAATCTGAGTCGATACATTGATCAAGAAAAACATGTGCCACATCTAAAATGGAGATGGAAAAAATCCTTCTCCGCTGAAAAAGAATTTGCAGTCCAATAAGTCAGACTCATTAGTACGGTATAGTTCAGACACTATATTATATGCGAAAAGGACTGCATATTACAGCTGCAGATGGATAATTCGAGGAAAACGGACCAAAGACACAGATTCATCTAAAAATGAACCGATCAGTACCCTTATCAACTCTAGTGTACAACAAGAAATGGCCCCCCGACCAAAGGCCTATGGCGTCATCAAGACGCCAATTCTCAAGCTCTCATCAGTTTTTCTTACCAGAAACCAGAACTGGTTTCCGGCAAGAGAGCCGTTCCGATACTCCAGCCTTGGTTACACACCACTTTCCAGGGGGTTATCACTTCATGTCATACCAAGAAGACAAAAGTACCAACACGCAGACAAAACACTTGATTCTCATCTACTCTACATCTCATATTCAAAAATTCCCAGAAACTGGAAAATGACCAGAAATATAAAAAAATCGACAAAAGATTCAGACACAGAAGAATATACACAATCCGGAATCAAGTATGCAACAACGCAAGCAGAATCAGTACACAACAACAAATGAATTTCGTATTCTAATATATACAAAGGAGAAAGCAATGCAACTTGTGATAAAGAAACACAACAGAGATGGGAACAGTTATGTTAGCTCCAACGTCGAAATTTTACAGACATCAAATCCAGGTCCCAACAAAACACGAACGTATAACAACAACAACAACAAAACATTACGGATAACGATAAACAATGTGTCTCATGGTCTTAGCTCTGATTCTGCAATTGCCTGCGACTGGAAATTGAAACTCAAGTACCTTTCGATGGACGTAGAGAACAAAAGGAGGAGATAGAAACTACAGAGCCGTGGGTGTGCGCCGCTACGAAGAAAAAGAAGACGAAGCCCTAGCTTCTGAAATGGCGTAGGTTTTACGTACATATAGTGAACCGTGTGGTAATGGGCCTAATGGCTAGGGTTTTGTAACGCGAAAGAGACTGCTCTCGCGTCGTGTGGTAGTGACGGTTGGGTGCCCGGCCCGTGAAGTTTGATGGGCCAACAAAAGTTTGATTTTATTTTTCTTTTCTTTTTGATATTCCCGTATAAAATATTGTACTAATAAAAATGTGACATTGTGCTTATAAAATTATAATAAAACAGAAATTTATCTTTATTTGAAAAACCCAAAATTCTTTAATTCGCTTCCAGACGGCGTTACAACTATATCAATGCAATATCTTTGCAATAAAATATTTTCAATAGAGTCATAAGGGAAGGAGTTCGGAGATAACCAAACTCTAACTTTGGAAAAATTTGCAATAAAATATTTTCAATAATTTTTTTTAATTATTTTTAATATCTTTTTAGTTACTTTTTATTTTTCTTTAATTATAATTATTTTTATTTTTTATTAATTTTTTGTATAAAAAATTAGATGATACTGTCATCCGCTAGCTACGTGAGATCATTTGTCAATTAGTATCGTTTAACATCGATAAATTTTTTGTAAATTTTTTTTTAAAATTTAACATCTTATCAAAATCAATGAATTCATTTTTATTTTAGAAATTCAAAAAGCTAAGTATTAATATATCCGTTATCATCAAAGTTGAATAATTTATTTTTTTAGAAATTTTCCATTTATTTTATGAAAAACTTTATAAAATGTTTATTTCTTCTCGGCCGAAGTATGGTAACCATTTGAGTTTTAAAAAAAGGAATGCAATGCGATTTTAAATTTTTGACAGATTAATTTAAGGGCTTAGATAATAATCTTATTGAGCTAAAAAAATTTAACTATAGGTTAAAACAATTTTAAAATTTAAATTTATAGATTCAAAAGAATTTTAAGCTTCGAATTAATTGTAAATAGTACGTTTTTGAGTTGATTTCTTCTTAAGTCTGCCCAATTGATTACCGTTATAAAAAAGCTTTTTTAGATGTTTTTGAAAAAGAAAATCAATTTAAAAATCATAAATAGGCATATTTTCGCATCCAATAACAAGTAATGGGGATATTTTAATAAGAAGATTAAGATTCTTATTTATTTATTCTTCTTTTGCCTTTTTGGCTCCTTTTCTTGTCGTGTTCTTTGTTTCCCTTTTTAGCTGGTCAGAACAATTCAAACACGTTACAGTGAAAACACAACAGAATTCACCAAAAACAAAATCCAACGGTCAACGTTCTTTCTTATTGAAAAGCTAAAAGCAAATCTCAGCCGTCCAATTCTTTCGAGGGTTCCACACCGCCCCCGAAACTTGTAACACACTCCCGCTCTCTACAGCCTCACTCATACTCTTCGCGTGCAAAAAAAAAACCCTTTTTATTCCCTTTTCCAAGCGGGTTTCCGGTCGGTTTCCCGATGACTTTCTCGGTCCCCGGACGGTGAATCAGGTTTCCGGCGTCCGTGTATACCCAGGTTTGTGTTCTTCTCGTTCCTGGGTTTCTGTTTGTAATCGATGGTTAAGTTTGCTTTTTTGGCGCTGATCGAATTTCAAATTCTTCTGCACAAGCTTGTCAAAATTGTTCGTTTGATTCAATTCTAGTGCCCATTGTTACTTTGGTTGTAATGACACCGATGTTGTAATGAATCTCTCTGATGGGGAAACTGCTGTTCGAGGTAAAGGAGGGGTTTTTTAGTGTGTGTGTAGTATAGATTTCAGACCTGTCCTTTTCTTTTTCCTCTAAAGTTCGAGCCTTTTTCTTTAGTCAGAACCAAATTGGCGATTTTGTGCTTTGAACTTTCTAATTTTGGCCATAGGAGTTCGTATGTAATCTTTGTCCTGTTGAAACTTTTTAGTTCGATGTTCTAGGCAGAGCGGTTAACATTTGTATCCGGTGTATCATGCTCCTGTAACTGACACACATGTATTATCGGATCCCTTCTAGAATGGTATGAGATGGGGAAGGTTGTTTGTTATGGTCATTAGATTATAGTCTTTATGTGCAATCAACATAGGTGATTATGGCGTCTTAAACTGAAGCCGGTGAATGAGATGAAAAATTTTCATCTCGGAGATCTTAAAATCGAGTTTTCGATCACACATTTTGTGTTCTTGGGGAACGATGCGCGAATTTCGTATGTTTTGTTATCAGTTACTCCCCGTGCTTCTTGATTTTGAATCAAAGAAGCATCTTTTGTGTATTGCTTTCCCTTCGTAGAAAACCTCACTAGGTTAACCAAATCTTGTATAGTTTGTACTCTTTCTGGATTTAGGATAATGTTGTCATTAGTTTGGACTTTGGAGAATCAACTGCCTTGTGTATGAAGTGATGAACTTTCTGGCCAATGGTTGCCTTCTGACATTTCATACTAAGTAAATGTAGATGTAGGCCTAGTTAATTGACAAAGGGCCGGGACTCTGACGGCCCTTTTGAATTTCGTAGAATGTTATCGATGTCTAGCCCAAAGCCTAGGATGCTACAACCGGCCCATTCAACTTGCATAATTCAAAATCTAATCTACGTTGCTCTTTCTTTATATGCTATGTAGAATTCACATTTATTTCCTTCGTTTTGTGGACCTTTTTGAAAAGGAAATGACACCCTCATAGTTGTACACAATTTTAGTTGATTACCATAACAGGATTGTTGCACTTTCATTGTACCCCTTTTACGCGTCTCTGCACCCTTCTTATATTTGGATTCTCTCTTTGAGGGGTTTGCAGTAGATTCTGAGATCGATAATGGACGCCGAGAATAAAGGTACAAATTGAATCCTTTTCTGTGATAGTATCTGTTTGCGTGCTCCTCTAGATTTTCTTCTTTTACTGGATCTGATTGAGTTGATATTTCAATGCTTTTGCCGATTGTTTCATATGCGTCTTTTATATATATGGCGTTATTCGGTGTGATATGAGATTTGCGACATTTATAATTCCTGTAAAGTGTTGATTGTATCATAGTACGGCAAGATTTTTTTCTGTCAGAAGTTTTATTATTTGGGTGGAGGTAGATGTGTGATTCGGATGTTCTTGTTCCGTATTTAAATCTATCTCCAATGGCTTTCAAAATATAGGTTTTCGAGTGGTGACTGGTGACACCCCTTATAGGATATATAGTGTCCGAGAAGATGATTTCTATGATACGTGAACACTGTACACAGATTCTTAGTGGTCTGATTGTTTCCTGGTCTAGAAGTTGGTTTCAAGTCTTTTTTTGGGGTCGATCATTGATTTTATGTTTTGAGTTCATTGTTAAAACTTGTTTTATTTTCTTACAAAATTTGTTTTCCCCTTAACCATAATTCCAGCTGAGGTTGCAGTTGCCAGACAGGGACCTAAGATTGATACTAAGATAACGGAACAGGATGTGGTATATAAATATTCTAGCCTTTTTTTTTTGGTTTTTAATATCGATTTCATGATATTTCTTGATGAGATTTAATGTCTTATTTGTTATCTTTGCAGCCTCCTCTGGCAGATGGTACAAATCGAAAAGTGAATGCTCCTGTCACTGATTCTGTTGCCGTTACTGTTACTGCTGCTAATGGTAAGACCAGTTCTTGTGAACAGACTGTTTATTATCTAGCTGATGGTAAGACCGGTTCGTCTGCAATTTACAAAATAATTTGTACTCCGTTATTCTCCTGTTTCTAGATTAGATGATATACCTTGTGTTTTTTTTCCATCAAATATTGTTGCTTATGATGTGCTTTTGCAGGATCTAGTGTAGTCTTTCCTCAACAAATTGGTAATTTTCAGGTCAGTACTTTGATTCCTTGGAAGTTTAGTTTGCGTAATCTAGTTCCATCTTGACGATCTCATATTCAACTCCATTCCACTGGTGTTTGTACTGTATTTCATTGTTTGACATTGTTAAAATCTTTGCTTTTTGGGTCAATGCTAGGAAACTCTCCCAAACAACGATGTTTATGCATATTATACGCCCGGGTACAACCCATATGTGTCTGGGCCGTATGTGGGATATGATGGACAATCATACTATGCTCCATCATATGGCCCTGAAGCTTGTTATTCATGGGATCCGATGTATGCCACAAACTTAGCAATGGTAAGCGGTAGTACCTCTGAAAACCTGATGTTGGGACCCTATGCTCCCGAAAACCCCGACAGCTCTACTCCTGTGAAGACAAATGCAAATGGTGCTGTCAAAGTTCCGCTTAATTCTCATGCACAAGCATTTGAACCGCAAAATAAGGTACTTAAGATGATAACTTCCAGATTATATGAAGGAGGGTCCCTTTTCTTCTTCAAGTGTGCCGAAAACTTCAATTTTTATCCTTCAAATTGGCCAGGAAAAGCTGGTTCTCATGGGAATCAATTCATTTGAATGATTGTTGTTATGTAAATGGTTTAATTTGAACGCTTCATTATGGTTTTTGAAGGGAAAACATGCAGCAGGACAACTAATATTCGGCAACCAAAATCAAAGTCATAGCCCATATAGCGGTTTTATGAACGGTAACGAAAACAGTAGTTCTTGGGTTCATAGACACCGTTACAGGAAGCCTGGCAGAAATGAAGTATCTGATGCTGCGGTTGAATTAACCGTTGGTCCAAGGACCTACATAAAGAATCCTCCTTCCGAGTCATCGGTCAAGAAAGACAGTCTCGTTGGACTGACAATCCGTCGAGATATGTTCAACCTCCCTGATTTTCAGACAGAGTATGAGGATGCCAAGTTTTATGTCATCAAGTCTTATAGCGAAGATGACATTCACAAGAGTATCAAATATTCTGTGTGGTCGAGTACACCAAATGGCAATAAGAAGCTCGATGCTGCTTTCCGTGACGCCGAAGAAAAATCATGTGAGGACAACAAGAAGCGCCCGATCTTCCTTTTCTTTTCGGTGAGCTGCTTTTGTTATTTCTTCTCGAGTTCTGTCTTGTCATTTTGTGTTCTTGTAATTCATTTTGCACGCACGTGTTCCTTCCGTTAGCAATAAGCAAGAAGAACATCTTATTGATGTTATATCAATTCTTGCTTCCTGTCTCATTCAGGTGAATGCAAGTAGGCAATTTGTTGGCTTAGCTGAGATGGTCGGATATGTAGATTTCAATAAGAACTTAGACTTTTGGCAAGTCGATAAGTGGTCCGGCTTTTTCCCAGTACAGTGGCACATTATCAAGGACATTCCCAACAGTGAACTTCGCCATATCATTCTCGACAACAATGATAACAAGCCAGTAACTCATACCCGAGATACTCAGGAGGTAGTAAGACATTCCATTGCTTTCTCCCGCGTCTCTTTTGGACTGCAAAACGTCAAACATTAGCTTGCATTTAGAGAAACTGGTGAAATGTTGTGAACTGATTAAATTACAAGAATACACCTTTTCCTTTACTTGATGTCAAAAAGTGGAATCAGTTGATCTTCCTTGGAGCTAAAAAACTTGTTTTTTCATGACTGCATTTTTCTTCCCTGGGTTCTGATTATCTATGCAGGTAAAACTGAAAGAAGGTCTCCAAATGCTCGACATATTCAAGAAATATTCAGCTGAGATGTCATTGTTAGATGACATGGATTTCTATGAAGAACGGGAAAAGGCCCTCAAAGCCAAGAAGGCGAACAAACCCGCTACCCTGCGCATGGACTTGTACAAAAACATCGACTATGATGTAACTGTCATGAAAAACCTTCAGTTTCATTCATTTGCAGAACCTTTGTTCTTTACATTTTCATCTCCGAAGTGTTTTCTCTTCATGTTATAACGCTCTTTTTTATCTCTGCAGTATGAGAGCGGAGAAGACAGCAGGAGAATGAATGAAGGCAGAGAAGTTAATTTGGGATCGGAAAGCAGTGATACAACACCGTCTTCTCTCATCAATCTCACCGAGAATCTCTCGCTAACAGGCTGCTCGAGTTCAAAGAACAATGGCATGAAGAATGAGGGCGAGACGGCTTGAGAAATTTTGGGTCATAGCTTCTTTTTCTGAGACAGTTTGAGTTCATGTTTCTGGATTCTGGTTTCTTGTTTTTGTCCTGTTCCTGTTTTCTGCAACTTCTTTCCCAGTGATGTTGGTTTGGTTGGCTTGGGAGCCACAAAACTCATTTTATTTTACAATAAATGAATAAATGTTTCCCTATGGGGGTTATAATTTCATCTTTCTTGTTGTATAACCCAAAAAAAAATATAAATATTCAATCAAAATCAAACAAAAGATAAAGTAATTTTTTTAATTAATGTTGGAAAATGTTGATAACAGAGAGCAATAACGAGATCAAGGAGAACAGGTTGAAGAAGAACTGGGAAGAAGATGAAGAACAAGACGCATGAAATTTCTCTGTTGTATTCCACTCCTTCTTTACTGTATATAAAACAGAAAATGTAAGAGTACAGAGCACACACAAATTGGTATGTACATGTAGAACCGTTACTGAGCAGCTCAAGTTCCTCTGTACTGTCTTTGTCAGTGTAGTACAGCTTCATTTCGAAGGATGTAGAGTAATACTCCCCCTCAAGATGGAGAATACAGATTTGTATATTCCCATCTTGACTAAAAGGCAATGAAATTGATCAATGTAAAGTGGCTTAGTAAGTAGATCCGTAACCTGGTTGTCAAAAGAGACATGGACAAGCGAAAGGAAGCCGGATTTAACCTTGTCTCGAACAAAATGGCAGTCGATTTCAATATGTTTTGTTCGCTCGTGATAGACAGAGTTGGTGGCAATGTGGACAGCTGATTTGCTATCACAATACAATTGCACAGGTTCTGAAACCGGAATCCTGAGTTCACGAAGAAGTGCTGAAATCCAGACCAGTTCAGAAGTAGTGTGAGCCATCGCTCGGTACTCAGATTCTGCGCTGCTGCGAGAAATAGTCGGCTGCTTCTTGGATTTCCAGGAGATTAAAGAATTTCCGAGAAAAATACAGTAACCCGTCACCGATTTCCTCGAATCTGGGCATGATGCTCAGTCTCCATCAGAGAAACCAAGGAGTTGTAATGTATTTTGGGCAGGATAGAAGATACCTTGGCCAGGAGCCGATTTGATGTAGCGCAAAACTCGTAACGCAGCTTGGTAATGAGAATCTCGTGGGCTCGACATATATTGGCTAAGTTTGGTGACTGAAAAACTGATGTCTGGACGTGTCACAGACAAATAGATGAGCTTACCAATCAATTGTCGATACCGAGTGGGATCTGTTAGCAGAGTTCCAGAGCCCTGACTGAGCTTTATACGAGTTTTCATTGGGGAAGAGAGAGGTTTGCATCCCAACATGTCGAACTCTTCCAATAGTTCCAAGGCATATTTACGTTGGCAACTTGGCATAGTTGAATTCCTCGCTTATGTCTGGCAACTTCGAGACCGAGAAAAAATTTCAAATTGCCCAGATCATTAATCTGAAACTCAGCCTGGAGTGTAGCCTTGAGTTCATCAATAAGAACAGAATCATTACCAGTGATAAGGAGATCATCAACATATACCAATACTATCACAATGGAAGAATCTCGATGCTTGATAAACATAGAGATGTCAGAATGGGACTGAGTAAAATTGGCAGCCAACAGAACAACAGTGAGCTTGTGATTCCATTGCCTTGAAACTTGTTTGAGCCCATAGAGTGATTTTTTCAATCTGCAAACTGAATTCAAAGGCACTGTCTCCCCCTGAAGTTGTGCATATCCTGGTGGTAGTGTCATATATATCTCCTCATGGAGATCACCATTGAGGAAAGCATTGGACACATCAAAATGATTCAGAAGCCAATTATGAGCTGCTGCAAGAGCTATCAATAAAGAACAGATGTTAGTTTAGCAACGGGGCTAAACGTATCAGAATAATCAATGCATTCGAGTTGTGTATAACCCTTTGCTACGGCGTGCTTTATAACGCTCCACTGAACCATCAGGATTGTACTTCACCTTGAAGACCCACTTACAGCCAATTGTATTCTTTCCAGGCGGGAGAGAACAGACAGACCAAGTCTGAGTCCGAATTAACGCATCAATTTCCTGAGTCATTGCTTTTCTCCAATGATCGAACTTAGCAGCTTGGGTGTAAGAAGATGGTTCTGGTTCGGTTGAGATAGAGAGTGTGTAATGTCTAAAATGGGGATGAAGGTTATTATAGGAGATGTATTTCTGTAAAGGGTGAGAGGTGTTGGAATTATCCGGAGGAGGGATGTTATGATTAAGGTAGTAGCAATGATAATCAGTGAGGTAAGCTGGTGATCTAGTTTGTCTGTGTGACCTTTCAATATTATCTGACATACATTCAGTGGTTGGTGGAGTGAATATGAGAGGAGGAGTGGGAGACGAAAGAACTGTAGGAACAGGGGAAGATGACTCAGGACCAAACTTAGGGAAAGTAGTTGGAAACTCAGGGGAATCGTAAAAATAGAAAGGGGAAGGACTGGGTTTAAGAAAATGGTGGTGGGAGAAAGAGGTTTGTTTTTGAAAGGAAAAATGTCTTCATGGAATGTAACATTTCGAGAAACCGAAATGCATTGAGTTTCCAAGTCTAAGACACGATATCCCTTAACACCGATGGGGTAACCAAGAAAAACAGATGGTTTCGATCTGGCAGAAAATTTGTGGCGTAAAGACGGTTGACGCAAAACAGAGACATCCGAAGACACGTAGGTGTTTATAGGATGACTTGGTTGAAAAGAGGACTTCATACGAAGACTTGAAGTGAAGTAAGGGGGTAGGAGTTCGGTTAATCAAGTAAACGGCAGTAGCAACGCAATCACCCCAGTAACAAAGTGGTATATTAGATTGAAAAAGAAGAGATCTCGCAACATTGAGTATATGCTGATGCTTACGCTCCACAACCGAGTTTTGTTGTGGAGTGTAAGGGCATGAGAAATGATGTAGAATTCCTTTGCTGGACAACAAGTTTTGGAACGACAATTCTGGAGCATTGTCGGATCTTATCGTTTTGATGGTCTTTTGAAATTGGGTTTGTATCATAGATAAGAATTCAAAAAAACGAAATGAAACATCACCCTTAGATTCAAGTAAGTAAACCCAAGTTGCTCTTGAGCAATCATCAACAAGAGTAAAAAAGTACTTGTGTCCATTGATAGTAGGAATATGAAAAGGGCCCCATATATCTAAGTGAACCAGATCAAAAGTAGATAAGGAAAAATGCGGAGAAGAAGGAAATGGGAGATTGCGCTGCTTCGCCAGTGGACAGATCTGGCAAGAGACTGTCATTCTTGGCTTGACAGAAAACTGGTTCAGGGGAATTTGTCGTTTGCTTGATTGTAAAAGAGGACGGGTGACCAAAACGAAGATGCCAAACATCAGGACTGAAAATGGTGTTGGCTGTGTAAACTGGAAAAGATTGGGACTGAGCTCGAGCTGGTGGGATCTGCATTTCAAGAACATATAAGTTTTGTTGTACATCACCCTTGCCAATCATCGAACCCCGAATATGGTCCTGAATAAAGTAAGAATCATGAGAGAAAGTTACAGTGAACGAATTATCTTTGGTGAGGGCACTGATGCTTATGAGATTAAAACATAAGGAAGGAACGAAAAGAACCGATGAGAGGACCAGAACAGGGGAAATTTTAACAGTACCAGATTGAGACACGGAAACAAGGCTTTCATTTGGTAAGGTGATATGAATCGGAGGGATTGAATGTATGTCAGAAAATAATGTCGAGTCCCAGCAAACGTGGCTAGTCGCACCAGTGTCTAACAGCCAGATAGCAGAAGTAAGAGATGGTGGAGGTAAAAAGGTAGTAAAAATGGAGAAAGGGGGAAATATACCTGAGGATAACGGTTGGGAGGATGATGGGGATACTGCTTGTTCAGAATCAACTAGAAAGCTGCTCAAACCCTGAAACTGAGACGTTAACTGGGCTAGCAAGGACTGTGCGTGCCAAGGACGCCTTTCCAGAAGTGGCAGACAGAGAAGCGTGAACTGGATTGTCGGTGCTGTTGTTGATGAAGTTCACATGATTCTGTTTCCTGTCATGCCCATAGTTGCGGTTCTTGGACTGATAAGCTTGTCGCGGTGTCGATGAAGGACCGCGATAGTTGGCCGGATAGCCATGAAGCTTGAAGCACTTGCTCACTAAATGTCCAGATAAGCCACAGTGAGAGCAAAAAATTATGGGGCGAGACTCGGGCTGATAATGGGCCGACGGTGGAGTAGGCAGAATGGGCCGAGACTTATCAGAAGAAAAATGAGGCCCAGTTTGAAACACAACAACATCGGAGTTTCCAGGAAGAGTGAGACGCTGCTGTTCTTCCTGGGAAACTAGGTTAAACGCGCGAGAAATGTCGGGCAGAGGATCGATCATCAGGATTTGACGCCGAGCATAATTATAAGACTCATTAAGACGCATGAGAAAGTTCACCACATTGCGGCGCTCAATCAGATCTAGCCAGCGACGTTCAAGAGAACAAGAGCACTTACCACAGGTGCACACCGGAAAAGGTTCATGGTTCTTGAGTTCTTTCCACAGAGAGGTCATTTTGGTAAAATAGCTGTTGAGATCCATGGAACCTTGGTGAAGAGAGTCCAGACGGTGTTGAATATTGTAGATCTTCGCAGCATTCTTCTGTTTGAAACGAGTCTCAAGTATTGTCCAAACCGTAGCAGCATCACCCATATAAACAATAAGACTTGCAATCTCAGTAGACACAACATTAGTAATCCAGGTAGAGATGAGTGCGTTGCAACGATCCCACGAACCTGCATCAGGATGGTTAGGGGATGGTTTGGGGATAGTACCCCGAACAAAGCCCAGCTTGTTCTTTGCTAGGAGAGCTTTCTCAACAGATCGTGACCAGATGTTGTAGTTGGAGTCGCCAACCAGTTTTTCCGAGACCAAAATGAGACTAGAGCTATCAGCCGTATGAAGGTAGAGGGGATTAGCATATGGATCTGTGGGAGACTGGGTCAAGGGAGCAGAAGAAATGGGAGTAGAAGATCCTGGAGAAAGGGTCGTCGGGTCATCACTAAAAGAAGCCATGAGCAAAGAAAAGTGGTAGAAAGAAAAGAAAGAAAAGAAAGAGGCGAAACAAGAAGAGAAAATCAGAGAAAGAGAAACTGGATTCTCTGCTCTGATACCATGTTGATAACAGAGAGCAATACCGAGATCAAGGAGAACAGGTTGAAGAAGAACTGGGAAGAAGATGAAGAACAAGACGCATGAAATTTCTCTGTTGTATTCCACTCCTTCTTTACTGTATACAAAGCCTCTATATATGCTGTATACTGTATGTGGTCCTAATACAAAAAGTAAAGCAGAAAATGTAAGAGTACAGAGCAGACACAAATTGGTATGTACATGTAGAACCGTTACTGAGCAGGAAACAACTCAAGTTCCTCTGTACTGTCTTTGTCAGTGTAGTAGAGCTTCATTTCGAAGGATGTAGAGTAATAGAAAAGTTATGATTCGTGTATTCTTAGGCAAATCCACTTCGAATTATTGTTCACGAATAAAAAGGATGAGCATAATTTGTCATAGTCACGTAATTAAAGGGGTCGAATGACAATTTTTAAAAATTGAAGTTTCTTGTACCCCCAGACAAACACAGTCACTGAACGAGTTTGGATTGCCGGGAACGCTCGCGGAGAGAGCGAGAGATTTGGTTAGGGTTTTAGGGTTTATACCTTTGGGAGATTCGAAACCAGAAAAGCGTGGGAGAAGAAAGGAGGAGGAGGAGGAGGAGGAGGAGGAGGAACAAGAACAAAGAAGATGTCATCGACTCTCCTCGAGGTGACTCGCGCAGCTCACGAGGAGGTCGAGGGACTGGAGAGGCTCGTCGTGAAGGATCTCCAGAACGTGCCACCGACGAGCAAGGACCGCTTGTTGCAGCAACACCGTGTTCGTAACTTGATTGAAACCATCATTTCGACTTCTGAGAAACTCGTAAGTTTTCCTTTTTTTTTTTTTTGCATCTGATTGTGTCGGGATATGCTTGCTTAGAATTCTAGGTTCGGTATGATTCTTTTGTGAAAACTTAGTTTAGGTTAAATTTTCCATTTCTGATTACTGAGAAACTTGAGAGTTGCTGAGAAATTTGAAGGTTGAAATCTATGAAGATAAAGATAATGCCAGGAAGGATGAGATTGGAGCTCTTGGTGGCCAGACTGCGACAGGGACAAATGTATTTAGTGCGTTTTACGATAGATTGAAAGAGGTATGTTGCCTTTTTTTTTCTAAAAAATTTCTCTCGTTCTTTGGTCATTTTATTTGTTTATTAGATCTTCGTATATATTTTTTCGAAATTGAGTTTTCCGTGTACCTGATTATGTTCTACTTTGATCTCTGTGGTTAAGTTTCTTAAATGGTTTACAGCATAAGTGTTTGAGAATAATTGTGCTTGACTTTTGTTTTTTCTCTGCTAGTGAGTATTGCATTTAGCTTTTACTGAATTTCAACTGTGGTTGAGTCAGCTCACAGACTTGTAGATGTATATAGAGTCTGATATGAAATGCTTATGGTTTTGGTGTAAACATTTTCCTCATTATTTAAATCTTCAGTGATGTGCTACAAAACTAAACTTCACTGAATTTTCTGAAGAGTTACCAAAAATGTGTGATTTATAGCTTACTTTTGATTTCAAATTGAGGATATGTATACCTGAATACAGATGCAAACCCATATTAGGATTCAAATTGTTATTTTCTGTTCAAGCAATGATATGTTGATACATGCCTCTGTTGTGAAAGTAGCTAACACGTTGAAACCACTCTCAACTTCTGCTTTCTACGTCCATGTTTTCATGGTGGAATTGCTGTGACTACTCATACTTTCATCTATGAATCTGCAGACCCGTGAATATCATAGAAAGCATCCTTTTGGACGTTTTGTTGATCCTAATGAGGACTATGAAGCTCTCCTTAAGGAGGAACCTGTTATTGAGTTCAGTGGAGAGGTTGGTTTGTCATTTTGAAGTTTGCTTTACTGCTGGACCCTGTGATTCTTTTTCAACATTTTGTTTGAATTATTTATAACAGGTGATATGCTTTTGTTTTTCCCCTCGATACTGTATTATCACCCATTTGTTCAATATTACTTTACTTGTTTCATGTTATTTTATAGCTCTTCTCCAGCTGTTAAATCTTCCTGTCCGCTGCACAGGAAGCCTTTGGGCGATACTTGGACTTGCACGAGATGTATAATCAGTATATCAACTCTAAATTTGGTGACGTCATTGAATATTCTGCTTACCTTGATGTATTTTCTCAACCAGGGAAAATTCTACATAAACTGAAGTTGACGAGGTAATCATTTCTCTGATTTTTCTTCTACTCCAGAACCATCCATTAGTATTTGTACTTGCAGTTTATTGTCTTTCGCGTTGATCTTGTTGCCTTTTGTAGGCAATACAGGGAGTATATGGAGAACCTGCTGGAGTACTTGATATACTTTTTCCAGCGAACTGAACCATTGGAAGACCTTGATAGAAAATTTTCAGAGGTTTATTCTTTCTTCCTTTGTAGTTTTATCATGTTCAATTTTGTTGATGCTAATTGCAATCCTGTGCCTGCTTGTGAACTAATGTTAGCTTCTCTACTACTTTTGCGTGATGTTGCGGGGTTTGTTTAACTCTAACAATGTCTTAACTTGAGAATGATTTCAGCTGGAATGATAATGGTGTTATGGGAGTAGTAGACCGATAACTAGGTGCATTTGGTGTTGAAAATTTCTCGATCATTATATGCATCAGCTGTAGAGCTTTAATGTTCATGACGCATGAACCCTATTCTTGAGTTAGCATTCTGCTTGTGACATTCTATTCTTTTCTGCGTGTATGTTTGTTGTGTACAGAGTTTTACTTGGTTGATCTTGTATCCTGCTTTGATTTATATGTTATTTCCCCACAGGTTGTATCTGATTTTGAGCAACGATATGCAGATGGAAAAGTAGAAGGCTGGGAGAATCATGGCCAGGATAATGGAGATGTTCTATCTCAGGATACTGTCATAGACCTTGATTATTACAGCACAGTTGAGGAGCTGATGGAAGTAGGACCTGAAAAGCTAAAGGAGGTAATTATGATGCTTCATTAATGTGCTTCTTGCATTGAAATTTGAATCATTACATAAAGCTTCCTTTTCCCTTACTTTTCTTCTGCTGTGTAATTCAGGCTTTGGGTGCATCAGGATTGAAGACTGGAGGGACACTGCAGCAGCGTGCAGAGAGGCTTTTCCTGACAAAGGTTTGTTCCTAGAAATGTACTTTATTTGCAGTTCATCTTTCATCAGACGATGTTATCACTACTATGATTGTGGGACGCATTCCCTTAATTATGCTCTATGCTGTTAGCCTCTGGTCATTTGTTTCTGTTTAGTTTTCTGAAAGAGGAATCAATTTTGTTCTAGCTGGAATAAGTGCAGGTTCTGGTAGCGCCGTAGCGTAGTCCATTTTGTAAGCGATATCCTTTTGTTAAGGATATAAGTTGGTGTGAGGCTTTATGTTGATCAATTCCATTTTAGGCCTTCATTGAAAATACACCCTTCCTTGCTCGGTTGTTTACATTTTCTGTTCAGCACACACCTCTGGAAAAACTGGACAAGAAACATTTTGCTAAACCTTCACGTGCGGGTGAACAAAATGGCTCTGCCAAATCAAAGCTGGAATCGGACAGTGGTAAAGAGATTGCACTTACGGAGGCTAAAGTGAAGAAACTCTGCAGTTTACTTGAGGAGGTTAGTTGAGCAAAATTCCTATCTATTGGTTGTGGTACAGTTCGGCCATTTACCTTCGCTTTTATGGTGTTGGAATTGGATCTCGTTTACCCATGTTCTGTTCTGCCCTTTAATCCTCCTGTTGTTCCATTTTACAGACAATTGTGAGGACAAAACAAAACGTGGAAAAGAAACAGGCCTTGACGTATGAAGAGATGGAAGCAGAACGTGAGGAGGTAAAATATCAATTTGTTACTACTATCTTAATCAGAAATTTTAGTATTTTCCACAACTTAAATCTTGTCGATCTGCCCTTTGAAACAAAACCACGAGAATTGTGCTTGGCGTCTTTTCTCACCCTTGTTGAAAAATTTCATTGCAGGAGGAAACTCGGGTCGAATCTGAAAGTGATGATGATGACCAACAGATTTACAATCCACTTAAGTTGCCAATGGGTTGGGACGGGAAACCTATACCTTACTGGCTGTACAAGCTTCACGGACTCGGGCAGGTAATTTCATCTTCTCATAGCTTATCGTTTTGTACACTCTCATAATTGGGATAGCAGTCTTTCCGAATCCAGGATGCTTGTCCTATTGAGTTCGAGACCTAAACTTTATTTGACTCTGTAACATTTGTTATGATCTCTCGATCCATAGAAACTCAAAGGCATAGTGTTTTTTTTTATATACAGGAGTTCAAATGCGAGATATGCGGGAACTATAGCTACTGGGGAAGAAGGGCTTTCGAGAGGCATTTCAAAGAATGGCGACACCAGCACGGAATGCGTTGCCTCGGCAT